TATTTTTAAAATCATACATTTGTCTGAAGAGTCTTATGAAGGAGTGGTTGGTGGCAGCGTAAATAAAGTGTGAATGAGAGAGTGTCCTGACCGTTGTGACGTGAAAGAGGGACGTCACAGGGACTTCAGAGGAAATCGCCACACTTATGTTCAGGTTAGGTCTTATTTTCAGGGAAACATGGAATAACTGATGAAACTGTATCAGAAGACATTTAAAGATATCTCAAGAGTTCCGAAAACACACCAATAAGATCAGGCAATTAAATCAACCCAATTTAAGGAGTAATATGCTGTAAATACTAGTACAGCGTATCTTTGTAATATAAATCAAACTCACAGACAGAAATCTGTTCTGAGGGTTTGGAGTATAATGGTAGGAACCGTAGCTCTGTTGTTTGATTTCTGTTTCCTTTCAGCCTAGGTCCCTAAGTGTTGCCCCCTCTTTGGTTTGGCTGTGCTGATAAAACAAACAAACCAAAAAAAAAAAAAAAACCCTTCAAACCACAGAGAGAGACAGAGGGAAGAAGCACAAAAGAACACCTCCTGTCAAGTCCGTTCCGACTTATGGGTTCTAACTCCATGAATGAGCAAGCTCCAACATGTCTTCTGCTCTACAGATCAGCTCAGCTCCTGCAAACCCAAGCCTGTGGGGCCTTCAGGGAGTTAATCCATCTCTTATTTGGCCTTCCTCTTTTCCTGCTGCCCTCCCTCTTTCTAAGAATGATGATCTTTTCCAGAGATTACAGCCTTCTCAGGATGGGTTCAAAGTAGGGCAGCCTCAGTTTCCACACTTTGACCTCCAGAGCGAGTTCAGGCTTGACTTGATCCAGGGCCCCCTTGTTTGTTTTTCTGGTAGTCCAGGGTCTCTGCAGAGTTCTTCTCTAGCACCACCATTCAAATGAATCCAGACACACACACCCCAATCACCTTCCTATCAATGTGTATCTACCCACACAAGGTTGCAAAGCAAAGCTACTGGTCGAGTTTGAATTAGTACTTCCTGACCTTGGAAGTTTTCCTAGCAGGAGATTTGAATGGAAGGAATGGCATTCAATGGGCTATAACTTGAATGATTCCCTGCTTGACATTTTATCACCCCAAATGATCTTCAAAGGCTCTCCAAATTAAATTTACTAAATTATCTTTTTTTTTTTTTTTTTTGCAATACTACCCTAAATGGATTGTCTTGCATCAGTTCTACCAGAGGGATCGGGATCATTTGCCAGCCTACTTCCCTCCCCCTTTTTTGGATGTAACCATATATAACTTATTTAACAAAGAGTTAAATAAGGATGGGTGATGGTGTCACCCCATATTCTTCATGGATCTTAAGCCCATGATACAACTGAAGCATTATTTCCAGTGGGCAAACGTAACAAATCTATTAATAAACCTAGTACTGTATGTGATTTAATTCTCATGAGAAGAGAAGACTCCCTGGAAAAGACCCTGATGTCGGGAGTGTGAAGGCAAGAGGAGAAGAGGACCACAGAGGATGAGATGGTTGGACAGGGTCATCGAAGCGACCAACACGAATTTCACCCAACTCCGGGAGACCGTGGAAGACAGGAGGGCCCGGCGTGCTCTGGTCCATGGGGTCACGAAGAGTCGGACATGACTTAAAGACTAAACAACAACAAGGAAAATTTCTGGCTTACTGCAGATTTTTCCCCAAATAGCTGATGCCTCAAGCAATGAAAAATGGTGGCCAAGGAGAAAAGGGAGGGGACCTTTAGAAGAAAATGAAGCCGTGATACATCCACGACTCAAGCCACGTTCCACCCGTGATACATCCACAACTCAAGCCACGTTCCACTGCCCAGTGACACCCAAACCCCGCCTGTTTCCGAACACTGTCCAGATAACATATGGGTGAAAGGACTTAACGACTAAACTACACCACCAATGTGATTTAATGGAGAATGTCAATTATTGAAAAACCAGATCCCTGCTTTGTACTAATTTCACTGCAGAAACAAAGCCAATGTTCTCCTGATAAAATACTATGAGCTTTAAAAAGTATAAAATTACCATTGCCAACATGAAACATCAGTTGCATTAAGCTGATTGACTGTCTCACTGTGAATCTAGAGTTGGAACAAATTGGTCCACATTAGATCACTGGGCAGTTCTGGCTCACTTGTCAGAAAAATACCAGGTGGCAGACAACTGTTTACAGCTTTCTTTGATTTGAAAGGGGTTTTTGATCGTACCCCTAGAAAACTGGCTTAGGATAAATTGGACTAAGACTCCTTTAGAAAGAAGAATACAATTGCAGTTTCTTATCCAAAAACAATATATGTTCATACCAGCTGTCAGATTTCCTTATTGCCAGATCTAAAATTATAGGTCCCCACCCCATCACAAGGTTTGGAAAAAATTCCAATTGGACACAACAGAATAATTGTTGTAAACAAGCTGAAAGTTTAAATGTCTGAGCTTAAATTTCAAGTACAATTCTAGCCGATGGTTGTTGTGGGTTTTTCTAGCTGGACTGCCTATTGTAAATATGCATTATTTATTATTTAATTTTATTTAAAGTATTTTCACCTCACCTTTCTCCTAAAGAGGACCCAAGGTGGCTTACAGCATTAAAAGGACAATACTTAAAGAAAAAGAACAGGAAATATACTGTACAAATATTTAAAAAGAATTAAGCAAGTATATTAAAATGGCAAATAAAATCAATACTAGGGTCAATTTGGCTAACTGTAGTATGTCGGCTGTTGTTTGCTTTTCTTAAATACACATTTGTGTTCTGAAAGCTAAGCCTAGGAGATCCCCATCTGGGCAAAACAAGCAGTCAGAGCCTCCATTCCCAGCCTAGGGGCTTGCAACAGCTCTGGCCGTACAACGCGACATGGTAAGGCAACACCAAGACGCAGGCAACACCAAACCGCATCTTCAGCACCAGCTTCAGGAAGAGGGGCCAGCAGCGTCTGCTTTCTCCTCCAACTTGTTTCCCGTTCCCTTCCCCTTGCCTTCCTTCACTCCCAGCCCCAGGCAGAGAAGGGGGGGAAGGAAATGACAGCAGTTCCGTGGTGTCACAGCTGGCTGGATGAGGCAGGAAGAAGCCAGAGGGCAGAGCTGCCTACAGCCTGCTAATCTTCAAGACCACCCAGGCCAGTGAAGTGCAATTCCTTAGGCTATCATTAGAGAGGTGGCTGGCAGGGGCAGTTGTCGGGCAAGTACTGGACAGCTTGTTCTGGGAGTACCGTCCTACTACTGGAAAAACCAGACCTGCAGGGATGGTCCCAGATTCCTTTGACATGCCAAGACATGCTAGGTCCACTAGCAAAGAACAACTGGTGGAGGGCATCACAGGTTATGTGGCTATTATAAAAGGAGGTGGCGAGTCGAAAAAGGTCAGGAAACACTGAGTTGAAGCATCGTCTTGGAGACTATGTGACAAAAGAGCTGTTTTCTCTCGTAAACAGAACTTGCCACTGCTGTGTGGCCAGGATGAGTCACCTGCAGGTTCTTGACCAGCGACTCACCTTGAGAAAAGAAGGCTAAGAGGTGATGATAGCACTTTCAAAATACTTGAAAGGATGTCCTACAGAGGAGGGGCAGGATCTGTCCTCCATCATCCCAGAGTGCAGAACACGCAACAAAGGGCACAAGTTAAAGGAAGCCAGATTTTAGTGGAATATCAGGAAAAACCTAACTGTTGGAGCAGTACGCCAGTGGAATCAGTTACCTCAGGAGTTGGTGAGTGCTCCAACACTGGAGGCATTCAAGAAGAACAAGATTACTAATTTTATTTAGAATGTTGAAATGGAAAGGACAGTGACACACTTAAAGGAGATTTAAGAATGTAACCAGAGAAATACGATATGTAACAAAAAAATGGAAGATCACTATCTGTTGGCCAAGTAGACGCTGTCTAGAGGGGCGAGGTATAACTCGAATGAATGAATGAATGAATGAATGAATGAATGGTTATGCCGGCATAGTAAAATATTTAATAGAGGGATTAGCCCTTTTCACTGGGGATCCATTATGCTAAAGGAGGCTTTGACTGAAACTTTTAAAAATCAGCATGGATGGATCACCACAGATTCAATAACTACTTTAGGTCACAATTTAGTTTGGGTAACTGATCTCGAGCTGTCCATATCAGATGAAAAGGGATGTCCCACTAGGAAATCTCATCAAAAATTAAGCACAACTCAATTAGGTCTCTCCACAGCTGGCGTTATATGCCACTCCATTTCGGATACACTAAAGAAACTCCAGTGGTGCCTCACTTAATGATTACCTTGTTAAATGACGAATCCGCTTGACCGTGAGGTTTTTGCGATCACAAAACGATGCTTCAATGGCCAAAAATTGCTTCACGACGATCGGTTCCCTGCTTCAGGAACAGATTCTTCGCATTATGATGATCTAAAAACAGCTGATCGTCAGGTTTCAAAATGGCCACCCGCTGTGCAAAATGGCTCCCCCCTATTTTTAGGAGGCATTTTTCACTTTACAGGCATCGGAAAATGGCTGCCCTATGGAGGATCTTCACTGGATGATTAGGTATTTAGCTCATTGGAACGCATTGAACCGGTTTTCAATGCATTTCAATGGTTTTTTTTAATTTTTGCTTGACGAGGATTTTGTTCTATAGTCATTTTGCTGGAATGGATTATCCTCGTCAAGCGAGGCACCACTGTAGTCTGTGCTGTTGGAGGAAAGGTGGGAATATCAGAAGCTGTACAAGCATCTTTCTTTTTCATGTCATCCACTGAATAGATGCTTGGCTGTGGCTTTGTGAAGGTCAGTGGAAGAACGGATAGTGTAACTAATGAAAGTCTTCAGGTATGGCATTGTTGAAATAAAACCCTTCCACAGTGAAGTGAGGCCAGGAGCCATAAGCGTTTAGATCCCGGTGTAACGGTCCAAAGTAAAAGGGCTTTCAACCGCGTGTCAGCATTCAGCTGCCACGCTGCACCCGCTCCACCTTCATGCCATTGTTTCATGACTGAAAGAATTTTTTAAAAATGCCAGGGCAAAAGACAAAAGCAACTTTATTTCTATTGCATAAACCATGATTAAAATTAAATTGTCTTCTCACTCTCTTTTCAAAATACAGATTAAGATATGTACAGTGGCTAAGTAGTCTGGATATATGGCAGTATCTTCCCCTTATATACTTTATACAGTGCAATAATATAGTAGGTATATATTAAAATACTCTTTTTCCCCCCTAAAAAAGTCGCATGCAAGAGAATGCATTTGAAACACAGGTTCTTATTTAGTTGTACTGGAAGATGTTACTGTTTCCACCTTCGAAACAATTGTTATGGAACAATGGCTGTGCTGAAAATTGTATAAATGCTCTTCGCAAGGACCTACAGAATCATTTCCAGTTTGGGCAAAATGGGATGAGACTCCACGAAGACTATACTCACTCCTCGGATACCCCTTAAAAGAAAGGAGTATGTGCCTTTCCATCCTCCTGCATTCAATACAATTAATAATATAGCTAAAATATAGAGGTTTATTTCATCACAGGCTTCCCCCCCCTCTCTTTTGGTTGTTGAAATTTACAATGGCTTGAATTATGTTCGGTCTAACAGAATTCTTTCAAGTCTCCTCAGCATCTTCTGATCCCAATCACAAAATTCTAGGATTTCAACAAAAGATTTGATTATCCAAACTTCCCTTTTTGTTCACTTGATTAAAATGAAATTCAGCAAGGACTGAGCAAAAGCTTTGGAAGGAAAGGGTGTTGTACAGGCAGAAGGCATGACACCTTATAGAGCGCTACTAATAGAGCTGTTAGAAATCTCTTCTACTCATGGAGAAATTTGGCTGGGAAGGAGAAGTTGCCTGTAAGACTTTTTTCTCCATCATCCTTCATGTCACTTTGCTGCTATTCCAAACCATAAAAGCAAATAAGCAACACAAAAACGATTTCCCCCTGGTCTTTCATTAACACACGTGGGGGGTTTTGGGCTTTCTCACGCCAATTTCATATTCTCTTTTTGTATGCAGTTTTCTGCTGTGTACCTTTTTCTGTAAGTGCTCTAAATAGAAAGTTCAAGAACTAAACAATAATTGAATGATGATCTCTCGTGTTGGTACTGGAAAGGGAAATAATCATTAAAAAGTATCTTTCAAGGGACTTGGGACTTAGAAAAAAATGCAGTGATGCTTAAATTTATGTGACAGAAGTGTTTTCTCCAACCCAGGGTGCTCCAGGTATGAAATATTTTCCTTCCTTTCTTGACATCAAAGTTATTTTTAGGGTGCTAGGCAAAAATCTCTTGTAAAACAAATTGATTTTGAACATCTCTCTCTTTAAAGTTCTTGTTTTTTTTGTGCTTTTATCAGTTTGCTCGTATTTTTTAAAAAAAATACTTCAGAGCTATTGATAAAATGGAATACAGAATGCTTCAAATATAAATACACATAAACAGGAATGGCTACCTGAGGCAATTGGAACATTTGACAATGCTTTATATGTATAAATAATTTGTTACATGAGGCTTTGAGGAATGAGGGGAGAAAACACCTTTGCTTCAGAAGGAAAGTGCAAAACCTACACAGAAGCAAAAATAAGCAAATTCGGCAGCGCTTATTTTCAAGAACCATAACCACTTCCTGAAGAAAAAAGTCTTACTGTATTAGAATCTGTAATTTCAAAATGGATATATGATTCCCCTTTCCTCATTTTCTGCAACCACCGTTGCAAATTTAAGTAACACATTGCTTAGAACTTGATTTCAGCAAAATTGCTACCAGTAACTGTTTTCAGACTCCTCTAAATTCAGACATGTTACAGGTAGTGCTCAGGGCAGCAAACACATATCCCCCCCCCGCGCTTTATCTTCCCAACCGCCCTGTAAGGTAGGTTAATGTGACTGGCCCATAATCACGATGCCCAGGCCCCAGTCAAATGCTACCCTCACACCGGCAAAGGGCTTATTCTTGCAACCAGGTTCATTAAGAAGGCTGCGCTATACAGTATGCAAAAGAGTGACAAATCCCATGCAAGTGTCAGCCAATCATCATCCTTTGCTTATTTTAAAACATTTCTCTTGAAACCAATGGGTTGGAACCAGATGCAATCATACTTGCGTAACTTAATCTTTACATGTGAGCCATGTTGATATAATCCTAATTTACAGACTTTGCAACGGTTGGTATTTCTGCTTCTGTTAGCAGAAGCCTCTCCTGCCAGCTGATCTTAGAGAGGGAAAAAAAGGGAGGCAGAAAGGAGTGAAGAATAGAGATGGCTTTTTAAACTTCTTACACCACAAATCCTATCATTCTCTATTTGGCAAGTTCTACCTGACTTAGACCCATAAATGTGGCTTGGCTGGGAGGAAAGGCCTAAACTGAGATGGTTGGAAATAGGAGTTCCCAGATAGCCTTCGGGGAGGAACAGGTGAGCCTCTGGGTGGCCCTTCCATCTTAGGACTTCTCCCAGGTGAGCCACATTCTAACCCACTCTGGGTAGAACTCCTAGAATGCCAAATTATGGAATTTGTAGTTCAGCAAGTCCACAAATCCCATCCCTTGTGGGGAGAAGCATCTGCATCTGTTCCAGAATTCTTTCTAACTCAGGCTTTGAGGAACGAGGGGAAGATTCTGCGGCCAATTACAGCTGCATTAGGATAATGCAGGGTAGAGGGCCGGTAAGTGAGATGTCCTGCTTTGACCTTGCCCAACTTACAAAGTTCTTTTTTCTTCTTTTTCTGCAATGGTTACCAGTAGCAGTAGATTTCTGGTAAACTAAGTTTAGACATGTTTGAACAGGATAAAGACAAATCAGGTGAACGCTCAAGGTGCACAGCACGGGTTCAAAGGGTGACAGAGGAAGACTTGGCGTTGGCCAGATTAGACAGTCTTTCCTTCCCTGGGGACAAAGCATTTCCTGGGCAAGTGAAGTGCAAGGATGGTTGTCTTCTAAACCTGCCAAGTCTTACGATAAACAAATGAATAAAACTCCTCTGACTGCATCCCTGAATTCATTTCCCTTCCATTGACAGAGGAGTAAAACCTAAAACGATGAAGTCAAATGGATCTGAAGAAACAGCGAGTTTATCTCTTCGTGTGGTCATCCAGGTATTGGTTTCCATCTACCGTTGGAAAGATGAGTTTAAGGACCTCCTGGCCCAAAAGGAAGCCATTTGCACAGATCCACCCACTCTGCATGGTCTAGTTTTCTTGAAGTTTGAAAAACGTATAGCTAGGGCTGACGGGGAATCCTTGCTCCAAATCTACTGTTGCCACACGAAGAAGAATAAGAATAAGGAAGGGGAGGAGAAATAGTAATGGAATAGGGCTCCTATGGTTGTTTTTTTATTGCATTAGGAAAGAAAAATAATTAAAGCATTAAGACAGCCCTTTTATGTCCCTGCCAAGAGGATGTATCCGATGGGCAACTGATACGCTGCTGGTCCTTTGCTGAACTCTTCACTCTCTCTCTCACGCGCTTTGTGACGTCGACTGGGGAGAAAGTTCACCGGGCAGCATGCGCATGCGTGGATGGTTGGTTTCACAGTGTTATGGCTACTCCATGCCACTCCGGAGGATCTGATTAGCGGCAATCAACATGACGCTGATAATAAAGGCCATAGCAAAAGCACATATCAAGCTTTTCCGCACGCAGGTCTGCCGGTTCTGTTTCTGAGAGTGCACTAAGGAAAGGAAAGAAAGCAACAAGTGAGAAGGATGATTAAAATAAAAAAGAACGGCAGGTTACCCACCTGTAATTGTAGCTCTTCGAGTGAACTTCTGTGATTCACACCCTGGGTAATCTGTGCCTGCGTAGAGCCTCACCGGAAGATTCTAGAGCTTCTGCGGTAGAAAAAAAAAGCCCCTCCCCACCCGTATAAGTACCGTGGCACCAAGACTCTCCCTTCAGTTGTGTCAACCGATGCATGTAAGCAGCATGGCGTGACAGAGGGAAGGTCGGGTGGAATGTGTGAATGGTTGAAGCAGCCCACCCCTTGGTAGGTAACTGGTGACCTATAAAAAGGCAAGGTTGGGTGCGCTGAAGGTAAAAGGCAAAGGCCCTTCTAACATCCAGCGTATGGAGGATTCTTTCTTATTTATTTATTTTTTAAAAATAGGATTCTTTCTTTTTATTTATTTTTTAAAAATTTATCTAAGAATAGGGTAGGGAATACAAAGGGTAAAAGGCAGTGGAAGGAAAAGGAAAGGGTTAGGGGGATAGGAGAACAGAAAATATACAGTCATCCAATCTAGTCATATTACAATAACAAATCCCTTTCAGCTTTTTTGTAATTTGGTTGCCCTCCAGCTATCCACTTACAGCTTTATTTTAGTTTAAATCTATGTTACTCCAACACTATCTGATAACCAAAGTCATTTGTATAATAAATCCAATCATTCAATTTCCTTTTGAATTGGACAGCTATTCATCACATCTGAAAAAATATCCATTTCTGTCTCATTCCATACTTTCTCAATAGGGTCCTCTTGTTTCTCTGCTTTCTTCCAATTTTTGAAAGAGGAGAATGAATCCAAAACAACAATCCAGTTTTCAGTATTACATTTTCTGGCTGTAGTAATTGAATAAATCACTGGATAATTCTTTATCCCATCTATGTTACCTGGTATCTTACTCAATAAGGGCTGTTCTGGAGTTAATATAGTTTCACTTAACTGTTGTTTAGCATCTGATGAGCTCTTTCATCTGATTTTCTATCTGATTAGAACATTCATTTATTTGCTGAAATCCTGCTGCTATCATCTTCTGCATGTTAATCTGCCATCCCTTGTCTGATTTTTGTGCCATTATTCCCAAATTTCCAATGAGCAGGGTTTATATAAATAGTACTATATCCTTCACAAACCAAACCCACAATGATAAACCTCCCCTAGGTTCTTCCTCCCATCCATATACAGATGTTATCATATATAAATCAACTTTTAGCCCAGCAATTTAAAATACAACCGTGGCAAAATATCATTTTTTCCTACAAAAAGCCAACAAAATTCTATTACCGGAGTCCCACAGAGTCAAGCCAACGAAGTCCAAAATATAACGCGATCACAAGGTTTCAGTCTCTCTAACAGATCTCCTTATAATCCAACTAATATTCTTTCCATTGGTCCAAAGAATCCATAAAGAAAAACTCCAGTCCTGTTTTTCCTGGCTCCTCAGTCCAGTTGGTCACATCTCGATGTTTTGTTTGTTTCTCAGTCTGTTCTCATGCTTCTAAAAAAAGAAACTTATTCCTTCTTCTCCAAAACCAGATAAACATCTATTTCAGAGCCCCACACAGTCTAGGTATACTAAGAGAGATCTAAGCTGAACCACATTCACAAAGTTTCAGCCTCATAAATCCTGTCCATTGGCATTTCCCTCTGGGATTTTTTTTCCAGGAACACAGAACTTTTCCGTCACTGTCTCTCTTTTGGCCTTCAGCTAGCCTGCTGTTTAAGAGTCAGTTTCACTTTTGAAGAAGCAAGCTGGTAAGCAAAAGCTCGCCGCTCTTTTCCTTCTTTCAGCCAAATATTTTCACTCTGCTTTCTTTTTCAGCTTAATGGGGCTGTTCATAAATCAAAAGCTTCAACTTACTTTGTTTCTATATATTTTCCACGCTGTTCGTAATACCTGTTCTCTTCTCCTCCGGGGGGGGGGGGGGTTTTGAAAAATATTTATTTGGTATGGTTAAGAAGTATAAAATAAGTGAAATTAAAAACCCGTTCTTAAAGACAATGTTAAACATATGGTATAAATATAGAAAGAATTTATGCTCATCTAACTCTCCATTTGGATCAGTGACAGAAATAGAGAATTTTTCTGTCAATATGAAAGTGTATGCGGAATTATTTAAAGAAAAAAAAAGTGATTTGCCCTTGAAGTTCAGAATGAAGCAGGGCAAAGGTTAATAGAGTTCTGTCAAGAGAACAAGCTGGTCATCACAAACACTCTTTTCCAACAACACAAGAGGCATCTCTACACATGGATGTCACCAGATGGACAATACCGAAATCAGATTGACTATATTCTCTGCAGCCAAAGATGGAGAAGCTCTATACAGTCAGCAAAAACAAGACCTGGAGCTTTTTTGGGGATGGTGAAATAGCGAGAGAAACCCCCTTTGTTGTGCTGATATACTGGTTCGATGGCATCTTTGAGAAGTACATTTTTTATTTCTTCTTCTAGGGTTTGCGACGGTGGAGTAATGATGTGTGTTGGTGGAGGAAGTTGGAGGAAATGGACGTAGTAGCCATTCTGGATGATGGAAAGTACCCAGACATCTGTGGTGATGGATTCCCAGACAGGTAGGTGTTTCCAGAGGGCAGGATGGGCGTAATGATTTGCGATTTCAGTCAGGGGAGTGTCAAACGTGATGTTGGGTTTGTGGTCATTTCGCCTAGTGAACGGCTGTAGATGAGGTTTGGTTCTTTGATTTTTGAAATAAGGTTATAAGATGTTTGTCTTTGAGGGTCATACTGGAACTTTTGGTAGGAATTGTATGGCCACCTCCACTGATTATGCTGTGGGCATTATTAGTAGGATGGGTAGACTCCCCAAACGCCTCGCTGCTGATCTTTTCTTTTGAATGTTTTCTAAAATGTCACCAGTTTCTGCATTAAAGAGGCCTGCCCCATCGAAAGGAAGGTCCTCCATGCATGCACAGGCATCCTCAGCAAGGACAGCTGTTTTCAGCCAAGAAAAGCGTCATAGTGCTTTTCGTAGTATATTTGGGATCGCGTCGAGAGTCGACAAATTGTCAATCGCCCTTGGTATCGAGAGATTGAGAGTCATAATACTAACGTTTGTGACTCGATGTCAATGGAGGTGGCATGTCCATGGACATTTGTCGATGTTGAGAGTCATCAATGTCAAGTGATGTTAGTTGAGTGCCCATGGACACTGCTTGATATGGCTGGTCATCGGTCTCGAACTCAGGATCGTAATGATGTTGGGTTCGATATTTAGGGTCTACTGGGAGTTGAAGGCCGTGCATCGATGGAGGGACCAAGCGTGTGTCGACTGACCAGGGTGGATATCAAGAATCATCAATATCAGAGCCTGTAATCTTGATGATGTCAAAACAGAGGTTGGTGATGAGTTGGTGGAATATTGGAATATATGGATGCCAGGGATGCCAAGCGTGAGGAGCAGTTTCTGTCATCCAGGTTGGTAGGGAAATAGCAGGAGGCTGGAGCTGTAAAAGCCTCATGCAATGAAGAGTGTTGCTCGACCGTTCTGGGATTTTTAGATGCCAGGTAGCGAGCAGTTTGAAACCCGTGTGGGTCATGGTGATATGGCAGTTTTGACACCAATGGTTGTCAAGATCGAGGCCCGCCCTGCGAAGGTACCACCAAAGTGGGTACAGTAACTGATTGACTGGTAGTTGTAGTTTATCTGGATGAGTGCTGGTCAGGGTAAATGGCAACCCAATGGGAGTGCTGAACATGGGTCTGAGCCACGCCTGATGGAATAGGCGCCTCATAGGAATGTTGAGGTAGATGTCTCAGAGGAGGCCGTGGTGGGCGATCTGATTCAATCAAATATGGCATAGTTTCCCATTGTTGTTCAGAATCAGCTCTGTCAAGTGAAGCAACTACAGAGGGGTTGCTTGAAGGAACAGAGTGTTGAAGACTAGGAGGAGAGGACATTAAGCGATCAACTCAGTCGTCCCATTCTGGTGATTGAGAACAGGGTTGATGAGATGGGAATCCATCATCATCAGAAGGCAAACCAGCAGAGTTTAACTCACATGGTTCTTGAGGCTGCAGAGGAATAACTGTGGGTGATTTAGATTTTTGTTGTTTGGGTCTTTTCAGTGGAGAAGGTTCCGGAGCCAACAAGGCTTCGGTGGACACTTGATGTTTAACGGAGGGTTTCGATAGTGAAAGCTTCGGTATCAAACTTTTCTGTTTGTGGGTTTGGGAAGTTTTGGATGAAGTGGATGGAGCATCGGTGTGAGATGGAATGGCTGATGGACATTGTTTTGAAGATTCAGAAATGGCTTATTCCATCGCTTTGGCCTGAGAGATGCCCTTACAACAGCGGTCCCCAACTTTTTTGGGACCAGGTGAGCCTCTGAGGAAGGTAGGGCACCCCTTCGCTCGGGCACAAGCGTGAAGGGGTGCGGGAGTGCTCACGACGGTGCTGGCACACGCGTTTGTGTGCAAAGCAGCTGTGGGGAGGGGAGTGTGTGAGGTCTGCCTCCGCGGCCCGGTCTGGCTCAGGCCACGGACTAGCACCAGGCCGCAGACTGACAACCTCTGCCTTACAGGGAGGTTGTGCCATCTTAGTTGGTTGAAAGGATTGCTCCCAAAGACAGAGTTTCAACCTTGAAAGGCGAGAAAGGAGAACTCCGCGCTTGAAGTTTTTATAATATGGGCAAGAGGATGTTTGGTGTGCCTCCCCCGAGCAAAAAAGACACTTGGCGTGGCTGTCGGAGAGTGGTCTTTTGTTGTCACAGACCACACAGTGTTTAAACAGGCCCAAAGGGGCCATGAATAGTAGGAAAAACAATTTGGAAAAGAAAAGAGGGGTTTGTGCGTGTGCTGCGGCTGAAGACCAAGCACAAGAAGGTAGAAAAAGAAATAATAGCTTTGGTATACATATGTTCTATAAAAAATGAGAATAATTAGAAAGAAAAAAGGAATCATGAATAAACTCTCTTTCACTTTCAACTCAGAAGCAGAAGAAACTGAAAGGGGATGCTTGGCGCCAAGGTACTTATACCGGGGGGGGGGGGGAATTTTTTTTTTTTTTTTTTTTTTTTTTTTTTTTTTTTGCACCAAGACATTGATGAGGCTTCGTGCAGGTGCGGATTACCCAGGGTGTGATTTGCAGAGGCCACAAAGAAGAACCATCTTTCTCTCACTGCTCCTCAGCTCTAGCAAGAGGACATTGAGAAAGATTACTGAATAGTTTAATTTTCAAGGATGGCAACTTGAAAATTAAACCACAGCAAAGTTGTGCTTTGCTGTTGTTACTTACACTGTGAATTCCTGCATTAACCCCATTTTGAGATAATTGATGTGATGGACAAATTTTTATCTCATGGCTTTGTTTGATCTGTTGCAACTTTTTTTTCTGATGCTGCTTTGAACTTTATGGGATTGGTGCCTTTTTTATATAAATGAATGAATGAATAAATAAAGGTAACAACTCTAAGGCATTGGACTATTCCCTCCTCAGCTAAACCTGAAGAACAGATTCAGTAGCAGACAGAGGTCACCTGGTGACAATATGGACTGTATGACTATCCATATTGATTTTTTTTGAAAAAATGAGTAATTGTTTCTAACTGTGACTCTATAGAAACAAACTGTTGTACAGAAATCTGAAGCAAATTGACAGACTACTTTGGCTTCCTTTCAATGCTATTCTCAAATGCTCCTCACTGAGATTTATCTTATCCTGTCCTGTTTCAGAAAATCACAAAAGATACACAACATACTGGTCACGGAACCTCTGGGCAAAACCAGGACCAGCTCTGTCAACCACTCAAAAGGCCCTGAACAGCCTCTGCAGAAAACACTGAAACCCAAGTGGAGATACGGCACTTCAACCATGAGTGGAAGAAGAGTGAGGCCATTGTGTTGAGGCTATTGTGAGTTCTGCAACATCTTCCTGTCCCAGCAACTGTATGTGATTTTCCTTCCATGCAACGAATGAGAGAGAATTTATGCAAAAATGTGATGGGACAGAGAGAGAGAGGGAGAGAGAGAGAAACACTGTTCCTCCCCTCAAGTCCAGCAGGGCTTGGGTTCCTCTGCCTTTGAATCAGAGGCCCAGTCTGGTTGTCTTAGGCTACAACTAAAGGAGATTTGGGTTAATATCCCCACTTCGTTGTGAAGCTCACTAAGGGCCTGCACCATTCCCCAGGAATCCCTCAGGAGAAGGTGGAATTCACACTGAGCAGAACAGCCTCCAGCTTTTTTGACGATAAAGCAGGAAGGAGGCTGACGGAGGAAAGATACAATATATAAAATAAACACAACTTATTTTTTTTAAAAAAGAATGAAGTTAAGACTCACTAACTTGGATGAAACTACCACCTCTGTATAGGATAGCAATCTTGAGGTACTGAAAAATGTTGTGTTGGAAAAATATCAGGGAACCCTTAGGGAAAAAAAATAAGTGGGGGATATTTTTGAAACATTAGAAATGTTTTAAAAAGGATAATTCCTCATTCTGCGGAGAAAAAATGATGCCATATTAGACTGTAAATTATGGGTCGCTGATGAATAAAAATTAGAATCATTTAGAACTTAGAATTCTAAGACTCAGAAATAAAATGGGGTTGTTTTTAAGGCTGAGAAATCCATGCTATCCCTAAGATCCTGTAGATGTACAGTTTTTTTGCCCAAGCAAATGAATATGGCCACTGATTTGTGACCCGTATAAGATTTCAAACCAGTCTCTCTCAATCTGAGCAACCCTGTATGGTTTAAACGATCTTTGTTGAGGAACTGAACAAACACACCTTTGAATGTAAGATACTTCACTGGTTGCCTCCGGGGTTCCTGCCTTTCCCCACCACCTCTTCTAACACTAGTAAACAGGTTTTTATGCAATTTGTATTCATTTTTTGTGAAAACAGCCCCTTAAGTATGACCAGCCTAAAAATACTTATCGTTTTGGAAGAAGACAAATCTCTCTTAGCGCTTCAGGACAGTAAGTCAGTCAGTCAGAAACCTTTATTGGCATACTGAGTACAGTAAAACAGACAAATACAATAACATACAACTAAAAAGTTCACTGGGTAACGGGTAGGAAGGGCCAGCCAAGAGCATATTTAGGGCTCTTCATTCTGCGAGACCGTGCTACGACGTCTCTGCATGATGGCATATACGTATCTGGCAGTTGACAGGGTAAGTTCCTTAATATTGCCACTTAGAAGATGCTGCATTTTCCTCCTATCATCCCATCCGGAATGGGAGGAGAGAAAAGCACACAGATGGGACAGGCGAATATCCTTGTACAGAGTACAATAAAATAGCATGTGCTACAGGGAAAATGCAGCATCTTCTAAGTGGCAATATTAAGGAACTTACCCTGTCAACTGCCAGATACGTATATGCCATCATGCAGAGACGTCGTAGCACGGTCTCGCAGAATGAAGAGCCCTAAATATGCTCTTGGCTGGCCCTTCCTACCCGTTACCCAGTGAACATTTTAGTTGTATGTTATTGTATTTGTCTGTTTTACTGTACTCAGTATGCCAATAAAGGTTTCTGACTGACTGACTGACTGGCTTCAGGACATGCTGCCTTTAGTTCTGGATGGCTGGCAATGGTTCTCTCACACTGCCTTGACATATCCTAAATATGCCATGACCACCATGAGCACAAAGACCGGTAGTGAAAGAGGACACAGCTCTAGCAGTGCTCCTGTGCAACGGCTTTCCTGAGTGAGTCTAAGAGGCTGCATGCAAATGCATTCAAATTTTATTCAAAATGATTTGCACCAGCCTTCCAAAATATCTGCACACCCGAGGATTTCCAATTCACAAGCATTATTTTGCTTTTTAATTCAAAGCATAGGCATGACATTCTCTGCAAGAGTATGCAGGGGGAGGTCTCACCTTCAAATTCTGTCTGGCAGTTGCCTGAGTTCTCGTTTAGACTCTCTTCCTCATTGATGATAATATTTTCAATGTCCTTCATTGTCAAGTGGTCCCGGAACGCATGATAAAGAATATGTTTTAGTTCTTCCAGTGTTATCCGCTGCATGTCAAACTGGCAAAAAAAAAAAAAGTAAGAATGCATTACTCTGCCATCTAACACAACTTGCTCCAAAAAAAGTGCTTGGGGAAAAAAATCAGTATTCTCATTTCTCAAATATTTTTGTTTTCTATGAAGTACATTTCCCCAAATTACTGGGGTCCTCAGCTCAAAAACAGTTTTAACAGAAACATATTGTGGCAAATGACATTTTTCGGTTATGTTCCATTATCTAAAGGCTTCTTATCAATAGATCACCAACTCCATTGAAAGTTAGCAGGTTGGTTGTATTGTTTTATTATAATAAAGGCACTAAGGTTCCCCTTGACATTGAGTCCAGTCGTGTCCAACTCTAGGGTGCAGTGCTCATCCCTGTCTCCAAGCCATAGAGCCAGCGCTTGTCCATAGACAGTTTTCATGGTCATGTGGCCAGTGCGACTAGACACGGAATGCAATTACCTTCACACCGTGGTGGTATTTATCTGCTCACATTTACATGCTTTCGAACTGCTAGGTTGGCAGGAGCTGGGACAAATCACGGGAGCTCCCTCCGTTGTGTGGATTTGATCTGCCGGTCAGAAGACTGCCGGTCTTCTGACCTTTCAGGCACAGAGGCTTATGCAGTTTAACCCACAGCGCCAGCACGTCCCTAATAAAGGCCCTAATCACCCTCAAAAGTGAACCAGTGTGGAGTAATAGATAAGAGGATGGGACAGGAAACATGGATTCAAAATTCTTGCCCAGCAATGAAAACTCACTGAGCTGTATGTGGTGATGCGAAACCTCTCCTTGAGACCTTTAAAATCAACTACTGTAATGTTGAACAATTCGAAAGTCCACAACACAAACAGCAACCCTTATAAAGCAGTACAGATTCTGAATAGTATAAATGGTGCATTAATGATGAATTATTTTAAGCCACCTAAAGGACACCTTAGTTCTTGACATCAAAAGCCATTCAGCAATACCATTTGGATTGTATGTTTGAAGAACTCAGTAAAGAATTGGCTGCTGTTCTCCAGATGCCCACAAGAGGTAGCCAAATACAGATTTTTAAGGATTTGGTTTATGAATGGTGGCTGTCGTGAGAAACTGCTTCTAACAGTAATTCCAGCAGCCATGGAAAGAAATACAAATCACCTGGTTTATGAGTAAGTACATCAACTAGCCAAGTATTCATCACTGAAAGCCCCCTGATAGGGTGGAACGAATGTTGCAACTCATTTGTGACCTGTATAAAATTTGTAAGTAATCGCTCTCAATCTGAGCAGAGCAAGATTTAAAGGATCTTTTATGACATAGAGTATTCCACTGTTGTTAATTTTCCCATCCCCTCATATTTTTCCCATGTTAAGTTTCACATGTATTCAGTTACAATTTTTCAAAAGCATAAAATGATTAGTGTTATTTTGGCATTTATCTTTCTCACAAATAGGCCTTTCTATAGCTACTTCCTATAAATATTCATTTTTGTCCCCTATTTTTAATGGAAACCTGCCTCAATACATCCACGGAAGGTATTTTGTGCAAATAGGCATATGAATGCAAGAAACACGAATTAGGTTTGTTCAATCAAAAATGCAGACACAACAAATTCATACCATTGTATTGTGACATGGAAGGTAGAGAACCTCTTTGTTAACCAAGGTTTTGATTCCACTCACACTGCCTCCAGCTAGGTATGGAAGGGATTCTTGCTCTTAGCCTGTTTGTCAAAGCTTTGTTAGCCCCCTGAGATTTCTCACCTTAGGATACAACCCAAATGAGACAACAGGGACCTTTTCCCTGTTTCTGTGCAAAACTAGCATTCTTCCACTTTGGGAAATGATAAATACAGCGATATACACAAAGCAAATGTATACAGACCGGCCAATTAATGTAACAACGCTGCAGCAGCTATATAAAATGCATATGAGTTCAGTAAGTCTGACAAACACAATTTCGCTTCCAATTTGTGTACGCCTTGTGGCAGAAAGCAGCAACGAATTCAAGGTATGAAGCAGGGCAGCAGCTCAGTATTAAGAAGTCAAAAATACTTTAAAGTTGACAATGAAGGCATCAAAAGAACCAAAAGAAATCAGAGGAATATTGAGAGTTAGAATTCCCAGCTGTCTAGCTTTCACATTCAAGTATGGTTGTGGAAGCTAGTGAAAAAGGCTAATGGGGGGGGGAATGATTGTGTAAGAGAAGACCTTTTGTGACCACTGGAAAGACAATCAAGTGGATCCCGGATCAAATCAAATCACTCAGACTGAGCAAAAATTATTAAACTTCGGGATGCCTGCATAAATGCTTCCTAATGTTGGGAAAAGTTAAAGGCAAGCAGAAATGAGGAAGGTTAAACAACTCAATAAAGCATGGATTCCCAACCTGGGCATTGTGAAGTGTTTAATGGTAAAGAGGTAGGCTCTCTTTTGACTCAGAGGCAGGAGGGAATGCTAGTGATTGACAGTCACACCAGCCCAGGCATCCTGCGAGGTTGTAAAAACTCCCACAGAACCGCCCTGTCGGATGGCTGGACTTCTTGGAGGTCACTCATGTACACGATCCCCATACGTTGGAAGCAACTGGAAACCACATAAAAACTCCTATCAGGTGGGGAGGGGGAAAATGGTGGTTCCTCATTTTCACATATAATGAGAGAAACAACAATATTCACCCCCCTGCCTCCTCCTGTAACACTTGTTGCCCTCTTTCTCTTGGGCCTTAGTCATTTCCAAACTTAATGTGAAGGTTATCAGTAATCAGAAGTACTGACAGAAGTCCAGCCAAGCCCACGTTACTTCTGTCTGGAGAGCTGAAGGGGGAAGACGTTCTATCCCATATTTAGGATAGAATGTTTGGCACAGAAGAGGGGGGAAAAAAAGGAGGATCAAAGACTAATCGGGCATGGCCAAGCCAGCAGTTTTTGTGGATCAAAGTTCCTCTTCTCCAGACAGGAAATTTCATCCAAATTTCATCCAAATTTCAAACACATGTAAAGCGAATCTGTCCAGCACCTCACCTGATTGCGTCTCGAAGAAAACTCTCTAAGAGTTGGGGAAAGGGGAGTCCGTTTCCTGTGGGAAGTTTTTAGTTTTAGAGCTCTATCTTGTGGTATAATTAAGTATTGTTATGTGGTGCTTAGCATAATCAAGCATTGTTCTATGATTTTCTCTCTGCGCATGTGTGGAATGTGTATACAAGATTGTTACTCAACGCCTCTTTGGCCAAAATCTTATCTTTATGCTAAAAAATGCTAATGATGGTACTTAATAAAAAGACATGCCTCAGGGGAAGAAGGGAGACATTTTCCTTCCTGATTCACCGGTGACATGCTTTATAACTAAATACTGCAGTCTGTTTTCATTTATCAGAGATCTCTCCCGTTTTCATGCAACTGCTACTTGGACTAGTCCTAGTGGTGGTTCCCTGGGAATTTTCCCACAATGCAGGGCACCTGCTGTTCTTGGGAGTGGAGAGGAATGGGATTTAAGAGTGCCTTATGATGAGTCTTGTTCATTGCATCCCATTCTCTGAGATTTCAGTGAACAAAAAGACTAGGAGGCAAATCCAGCTGATGTCAGGAAACCAGGATAGGGTTAGGGTTGGGAAACGCTAAGAAATCCTTCTCGGCCTGCCATTTGCAGAAATAGTGCGATGGATCCAAAGCTGTGAACCTGCTGAAGTGCCATCCTCTGAAGATGCCAGCCGCAGAGACTGGCCAAACGTCAGGAAGAACAACCTTCAGAACACGGCCAAAGAGCCCGAAAAACCCACAACAACCATCAGATCCCAGCCTTCGCGAATACACTGCTGAAATTCTGCTAGGTAACCTTCCTTTGACGCTGGCCTTTTTGGTCTGCTGCGTTGTGCAAAAGGTAAAAACACACAGAGAGACCAAGTTCCAGCTGGGAATGAATGGAAATGGTTGTCCAAGGCTTAACGCTATCTCACCTCCAAAAACCAGTGCATTTAGTCCAGAGATCAATTTCATGCCTGGAGATTTAAGGAAGGTGCTATCTTGGCCTGTTCTTACTCACACATTGCAAACTCAGAAATGGGGAGAGTCTGACTACATTTTGGAAAATAGAATCTACCCCACAGCTGGGAAAGATCATAGTGCAATGGTATCTAACGTGTGTTTTTTATAAAAGCGGTGCCTGGTTGGTCCATTGTCCGGCATTTCCATATATGCAAATGTAAAGACATTTGATTCTTCTGCCATTGTATACAGAAAGAGTGGGCAAGGTGTTGTACTGCAACACGTCTATTTCAATACACCATGTGATCCACAAGTACTCCGAAATGTGATCTATTACCCTGAGTGATCACACCCCTGAGTTACAAGCCCCACTGTACGCCGTGTGATCCACAAGTACTCGGAAATGTGATCTATTTCCCTGAGTGATCACACCCCTGAGTTACAAGCAAAGCTCAGAAAAAAGGGGCCACCCAGTTGGAAGAAAAGTTTTAAAAAGGAAGGAAGGAGGGAAGGAAGGAGCTGATGATGGATAGAAGGAAGGAAGCAAAGGAGGAGCTGATGAAGGAAGGAAGGAAGGGACGGTTGGTTTACTGATTTACCCATTAATACATTGCAGCTCCCAACTCATGATTAACAAGGTAAATTTCTACACGATTCATTTAAAAATGCATACACACTATCCTGCCATACATTTTTTGCTAAAAGAGGACAATCTGCTCTGTCATGGTTCATTCCACATCCTATGAACTGGAGTTGGGTATGCGTCTCATTAGTGGACTAACAGGTGGCTTAAAAACGAAGATTTTAAGAAGGAAGATTTCAGCTGAATATCAGGTGGAGAGATTTGGATTATAAAAGCTTTCTCCCTCCCTCACAGGAAGTCTTCAAGTAAAGATTAGACAAGACTACGCTACCCCCTAGATTTCCCCCCTTGAAGAAGGCCTCCACAGTCCAGCCCAACGCCATGGCTTTCACAGTGTGGATGTGGCATATTTCAGTGAAACATGTAGTGAAGTTGTGGACCTTCTTGGCCCCCTAATTTCTTCTCTTC